ATATTCATTACTGGATTTTAAACATGGCTATTGCAGATTTTATGCTGTTGCTTTTGGCGATATATCGAGACACTAACAATCTATGGGATGATCATGAACTGAACCACGGATATGCAGTGTTTCGGTGTTATTTGTTGATGTCGTTAATACCAGTTCTATCAATGGTATCCTTGATATCGATGTTGATAATAAGCATCGAGAGATTCAAAGCAATGTCGTTTTTAAGAAGACTTCAAACGTACACTTTGCAGCGAAGTGCTCTCGTCTTGCTCTCAAGTTGGGTGTTTTCAGGACTCCTTTCGGCTTATAATCCAATACAATATGGTTTGGACGACGATGGAAATTGTGTTCCATTTTCCTCGATTCCACTTTCTGTTTGGGCTGCTGCCGAGGATTGCTTTTGCTTGTTTTCTCTTTTCGCTTTGGTGTTATTAAATTGTCTAACGTTAAACAAGCTTACTAAAGCACAACCGATTCAAGAAAGTATGTCGGAACCACGGAGACAGCAGCGGAAAAAGCGAATGGCTCAAGTTGTAAGAATGGTTCTTTGGTCATTAGTTCTTTACTCTCTCTGTTATATACCATTTCGTCTACTAAACTTCTTGATTACTTTGAGAGATTTTTATGTACTCCAATTCCCAGATAGAATCAACGGGGTGTGCGTGGACAAGATGGCAATTGTCTTCATTGTTTTCAATTTTCTACCTTCTTTAAATTCATCTCTTAGTCCATTTATTTACATTGCATGTCTTCCTGACTTTCGCAAGGAAGCCAACAAGCTCCTGTGTAAGACTTCCTCACAGCAAGGTCCTGAAATGCGTAGAATGCAAGATGGAATTCATGGTCCAGCGCAATTAGAACTTTTTACACAAGATCCGCACTGAAATGAAAACTATAGCGTGCGATAATGATTAGAACGAATCTATTAGAGTACAGCCGCGCAGAAAAAGGAACTAACCCATTTCTTAACAATGCAATCTTATGCATTATGGTGAATGTTTGTCATCTGGATGTAATCTCAATAAGGACATGAACAGTTTTGAGCATCTGAGAGA